GCACACACACTGACACACACCATAGACTGGTACATACAGGTATGCACACACTCTGACACACACCACACACACACACATGCTGACACATGCTGGCACACACACAGTGGCACACACACCATACACTGGCACACACAGGCATGCACACACACTGACACATACCACACACACCATACACTGGCACACACGGGCATGCACACACACTGACACATACCACACACACCATACACTGGCACACACGGGCATGCACACACTCATACACACCACACACACACACACATATGCTGACACATGCTGGCACACACACACTGGCACACACACCATACACTGGCACACGGGCATGCACACACAGCATAGTCCCTGGCTCAGGCGGTGGGTTGCAGGTGAGCTAGCCAGCTGGTGACTCAGTCAGTTCCCGTCAGAGGACTGCAGCTGGGCCGACTTCCAGCGCAGGTCGGATGGGGCCGAGTCACTGACGGGAAGAGGCTCAGTAGGCCCACCCTGCCATCAGTCTTTAGTGAGGACACCGGGCACCAGGTCTCATGGCTGTGGCTTTTTCTGGGGTGTGGGACCCTGTCCCCTCCTTCCTCTCCTCTCTCCACCAGGGGGCGGGGGGAGAACAGTCAGCATGTCTGGGTGTGCCTTGGGCGTGTATGTCTCTTCATGTGTCCGTGTGTCTACATGTCTGTGTGTCATCCGGGCTCCATCTGGGGGCTTGGTTTGCATCCGTCTGCCTGAACGTGTCCGTGTGTCCTCTGAGTCTGGTGTGGGGGCCCCAGGGTGGGGCAGTCTGGAATGGGAAACCCTTAGCCACCAGCCCAGCTCTGTGTCCCCCACCTCCCTTTAGTGACTGACCTTGGTAGAGTCCTGTAGTCTCGTGGGCTCTGTCCAAATGCAGTGACCTCACTCTGTATGACGTACCCCGTATCCTGATGGTCTGACTTTACGGGGAGGGTGACAGAGCGGAGGGGGGCACCTTTTCCCCTTCAGCAAAACAGGCAGAGCCTCGAGGTGATATGTACAGAGTGAGAGGTGACCTCAGTGACGAGGCAGGGCCACCAGGGAGATGTCACCCTTGGAGACACAGATCTAAACTCATCCCTTGAGCCACTCGCCTTTCCTCCCACAGAGGCAGGCCCTGATACACCCGGATGGGGCGTTGTGGACACTTTGGTCTGGGCAGGCCTCCCTCTGTGGCCTGGAATTCCTCCTCTGTAGATGGGGGTCCTAATATCTGCTGTGTATGTGCTGAGAGAGGAGGAGCCAGCCAGCCAGACACCCCCCCATGAGCCCTTCCCAGACCAGAACCCCACCACCACCACCTCAGTGGGAGCCACCATGATTACTGGGACAGAGTTTTTGACCTCCTGGACATAACACCCTAGAGACCTGTGCAGGGACAGATTGGCTGGCTGCCCCACCTCATTTGGAGGACATAAGGAAGGGTCTCAAGTGACTGCTAAAAGAGGGGTCAGCCCCTGCCCTAGCCCAGCCTTCAGGCAGCAGCGGAGAGCTGGGACCCCACTCTGAGGGTCCTGCCGGACCACAGCTGCTGCTGTTTTCCTGGAAGGGACAGACCCCTTCCAGGGAGCCCCCCAACTTCCTCAGTCCAGTCTATTTGGAGGACCGTGTCCCCTTAGACAGTGTGTCCTGCCCTGCGATCAGACCCCTCGGGGCCCCATTTCCCACTGGCCGTCCTCAGGGGAGGCAGTCTTCACTCCAGGGTGTAGCCAAGACCCCTCCACTCGACCGTCAGGGTCTAGACATTTCCACCCTTGACCCCCCCCAGGGGGTGGGGCCTTGAAAGCCATTGATGCCCCCTTCCCTGGCGGGTCTTGCCTCCTGCCCTACAGAAGGAACCGGGAACCACAGCCACAACCCTCCTCTCTAGGCAGACATGACCCTGGACCAGACTAAGGGGGAGTCTCTCTGAGTGAAGTGTGGGCCCAGCTCACAGCCACCTCCAGGGACACAGGGTCCCACCTAAGGGTCACCCAGCAGATGAGGTCTGCACACAGCTCTTCTGGGTCTGAAGCTTGCTTCAGCCAGTCGTCCCCTGGGTGGATAGGACAGAGGGAGCCTGCCCCGCGGGTCCTAACTGGGGCAGGGTCTCAGACTCGTCCGCAGGGCCTGAGGGAGGGGCCATGGCGGCAGACAGAGCCAGGACGCTGGAGCATAGATGTTGGAAGCATCGGACAGCAGCAACCGCAGGATGAGCAAAAATAGCTCCACTTCATCCCAGCCCCGCCCCAGACCTAGAGGCTGGACTCTGCACGCGCACTCTCCCCGTTCAAAGTGTCGGCGGGGCAGCTTTCTCCGCAGTCCTGGTCTTTCTCAGCTTCCAGGAGGGGCCGTATCCCTAGGCTTACGCCAGCATCACGCTGACCGCTACTCGGCCCTCTCTGGCTCTTCTGTGGACCCTTGTGACTCTATCAGAGCCATGGGGTGCACTGGGGTCCTGATCTGGGATAGGGTACTGAACCTCAGGGAGGGAAGGGGACCCCCCCTACACCTGCAAGCAACAAAACATACCCCTCAGGAAGCTGAGGTCACCACCGCCTCCCAGGGCCCTTGACTTGAAAGTCTGCAGAGCCCCTTTGGCAGAGTTTTGGCACAGACGTCATGGAACCCAGCCTTGCTGAGGCCCAGAGCTGAATGAAGCCCAGCCCCTCACAGGGAAACCAAGGCGGTGGGGAGCGGAGGCTGATGCATGAAAAACTGCTCCCAGCCCTAGCCATGCTCCGGAAGCTGGTCTCTGGTCACAGACCTAAAAGAGAGATCAGCTCCTGCCCTAGTCTCCTCACTTGTACCTGGAGACAACATGCTCCTGAAGAATGTCCAGGACAGTGGACAAGCAGTGAGAGCCGTAGAGCTGACCAAGGGGCAAGCTGAAGCCAGGGGCTGAGGTGACTGGTTTACATAGCCCCCCGGAAACCATAGGGGTACTCCTGTGTGGTTGGTCTGAAGCCTCAGTCAGTCGGACCACCTGTTTCACTGGCCCCTCCCCGCATCAATCATCCCTCAGGTGGCAGGGTGGCGCCCTGCATGACCCAGCTGTCTGCCTCTTCGAGGTGGGGGTGAGGGGAGGCAGGAGGTTTCAGGTCAGAGTCCAGAAAGTGATATCATTATGCATTTGTTGAAATTCAATTTGGGAGTTTAGCTGAGAAGGAGGGGAAGCAGACCAGGGTCCAGGCAGGACCTGAGGAGGCACGGAATGGAGGGCGCATATATGGGGAGCTGGCCTGGTCTCCTTTGTCCAGTAAATTCCCCCTCCCCCATGTGGGCGCTGGACGGGGGAGGCAGGGTCCGGAGGGCCTGGGAGAGGGGTTGGCAGATCAGGAATCTCTTATAAATGCCCCCCGCAACACACACACGTACACATAGGCGGCCGCTGGCGGGAATGCTGCCCCAACCCTGATCGAGATCTGCAGGTGACCCAGCCTGAAACCAGGGCTCTATTCCCCTGGGAAGGAGGGACCAGCAGTGGGGTGTGGATGGACCTCGAGTCCGGTGGAGGAAGCATCGTAAGGCTGCACGGGGTCCAGGTCGCATCGGGCGCGGGGAGGGGGAGGCGGGAGGAGGTGCAATGGAGCTGGATGGCCGGGGCGCTGACCACCTGGTCGGTCGCCGAAGGAGCGGCTGCGCGCTGACCCGGGTAAGGGAGCCGCTGACGGGTCCCTGCTCCAGGCAGGATGATATGTCGGGGGCACTAACTTCTGGAGCCGCTCGCCAAGGAGCGCTCACGAGGGCTCAGAAGTGGACGCAGCAGGCCAGGTATTGAAGCGCGCGAGCTCACCCACCCGCTTGCAAGTAGAATCGGGAAGTGGTGCACAGGGCCCCGCCCACGGCAGTGCGTGATGACATCACGGAGGCGGGCTAGAGGAGGCGGTTGACGCCGGAAGCGGGACGGGGTGCCGTTGCTAGGCAACGGGCAGTGTTGTTGGCAGGACTGGCCTGGCCTCGCCCTGCTCACCCTTGCGTTGCGACGAGAGTCCGGGAGGAGATCAGGGGCGGGGAGGGGGTGGCTGCTGAGACCTTCCCTCTCTCCCACCCCCCAAGGGCTTCCGCCTGTGAGCACGCGAAACCCAGCTCTCGAGACAGCTCTTGGGCTTTGCCCTCTCCAACTCCAAGGGTCATCTGGACCCTGCCTCTGGCGAGGGAGACCCCCTGCGCTCGCTCCTGCTGGAGGCCCCGTCCCTACCCGGTCTAGTCTTCCGGTGTCACCTGGAGTTCTAGGAAGCCAGGCAGGCATGTTGCTCTCCCCTGGGCGCTGGACGCCACTTTCAGCCTCTGAGCGATGTGGGCATGACCGCGCCTTTTGGGGCCACCAAGCCCCCCCCAGACCCTGTTCAGTGGACACCCAGTACAGCAGCGTATTCTGAGCACTTCCCTGCCGGGTGTCTGCAGCCCAGGGCACCAAGGTGCAAGACCCAGGACAGCTGGGGAGAGCGCCTGACCACAGTCCTCAGGGTCACCTGAAAGGGCAGGCAGGTGAGCTCTCTCTGGACCTGGCCCCAGGGAGGCCAAGTGATGGCCGGCTGGAGGGGACAAAGCTCCCCTGGGACCTGCCTATACTGGACGGGCCCGCCCCACTCATGGACAGCAGTCTGGACCTGGGCGAACCCAGCAATGTCTGGGGGCCTTTTGAAGGCTTCAGGGAATCTTCAGCCATGTCCCTTCAGCTCCTGGAGGGATCAGAAGAGCTTGGCCTGTCCAGAGCTGTGTCCCGCCGGGAAGAATGTGGTTTTCTCTGGCCACACCAGGGTGAACCTGGTGGTCAAGATAACTTCGAGGTCACACATTCTAAGGTATTTCCAGAGCACCCACCATGTCCCCCTGCCAAACGCGAGTCTTCAGTGTGACTCCAGCTGCATGCCTGGGTCCCTCTGTCTGATCCCTTGTCCCCACACTCCCACCCTCCTCGGCCCAAACACTCAGAAAGCACACAGTGCCTCCTGGAAGTGTGATGAGGCATTCTCCTCGTGCCCCTCCTCTGCTCTTCTGTCTTCCTCTTCCTTCCTTTGCTTCCCTTTGTCTCCCACCTCTCTCTCTTTCCCCCAAGTGGCCCCCCAAGTCCTTGTAAGAACAGAAGGGGAGAAGTCAAAGGAGGAAGGCAGGAGCAAGGGTTCCGCTGGTTGGTAAGAGTGGCCTGTCTTTCTGAGACCTCAGACCAGCCCCAGCCATCACACTTTGAGATGGTATCTCTCCAGTGAACAGTTTGAGCACAGTACCAGTTTCACAAGGGACACAAGGTGGACGTGTCCCTCTGTGCCAGTGAATACGTATGTTGTTGTTGTTATGTGCCGTGGAGTCGTTTCCGACTCATAGAGACCCAGTACAGGGTTTCCGAGGCTGCAAATCTTTACAGGAGCAGAAAGCTTCATCTTTCTCCTGTGGGACCGCTGGTCGTTTCGAACTGCTGACCTTACGGTTCGCAGCCCGATTCCTAACCACTATGCTACCAGAGCTCCTTAGTGAACACGTATAGGGCACACACTGGGGTGCAGCCTATTGAAAGCACCTCTGCAGCCAATCTCAGTCTGCAAAGTGTTTGTGTGGAGTCCTCCGCCTCCACGTCTTGTCTGTGTTTCGGCTGTCTTTTTCCCATGCCCCTCCGCGTTAGAGAGTGTCATGCCATCTTCCCAGCAGCCCCGAGGCTTGTGAGTGTGGTTTTGCCTGGTGATGGTCAGGAATGTGAAATAAGGTGGCTTAACATGTGTCTTTCTCCCAACTCTTCGACGGTCCTCTTTTCGGTTTCCAGCTCCTCCTCACCTATGAGAAGATTTTTAAGTTTGCTTTTCAAGAAACACCAGTTCAGCCAGCAACTGAGGATGTTTCCAGTTTAGACCAGATTTTAGCAGCAAGCGATGCAGGAACTGCGAGCTCTGGCCCGGAGCCCTGTTGGTAACTAGAGTGGAAGAGTACTTCCTTCAGCTGGGGGCTGGTCAGCCGAGGCCAGAGTGGGTGGTCTTCCCTCTAGAGGTGGAGCTGCCCTGCTGGCCTGCATTTGTCACCTCCCAGCGTTCCTTCCAGTCCTGCTTCCCTGGGTGCCTACTCTGTCTAGAGGTACCGTGCTCCTGGGTTGTTGCAGACATACACAAGGCTGTTTGCAGAGGACCCCTTCATGAGGCCCCCGGTCTGCGCAGACTGGCCAGGTCCCGGGCGCGGGCTAGTTCAGTCGCTGTTTGTTTCCAGCTCTGAGCCCAGATCACTCTGGAGAGCTCTTCAGAGCACATGCAGCGCGTCCACGTTACCAGGCCTGTGGAATGAGCGCCGCCGCTGCCAGGAACGCCTCTTCCTTGTTCTCGGAATTGACACGGCTCAGAAGGTACTTACTGGGCTCTGGGGAGTGAGCGTGCTGGCGCTCAGGCGCCTCCCTGAGTCCATAAATCGCCAGATTAAGCCCGTTAACCCTGAGTGGGAATGGCTCACGTTGTCCTCTGCAATCCCTGCCCACCTGCCACAAAGGGCAGGGCCTGGGGGACAGTGTTCATGGCTCTGCCCCGCTGTCAGTGGGGACG